ATTCACCACCGCAGATAATTTAATCACAGTTTATAACCGCAAAAGCCGACAAACAAAAAGCGAAAGCAAACACTGCATACGACAAAATCCACGACAAACACCACGACAAAGAACCACTAGGACAACGAATGAAATACCGCCAGTATCTACTCTATAGATGTAATGTTTTTTGAGATTAAGTTAGAAAAAGACGATGCCATTAAAACCGCCTTCAAGGACACAAAAGGCCGGCCGTTAATCTAGTTCCAAAATACATAGAGGAATTAGTGGGAAAGCGTATATTTCGGTATGAGAGCTACATTTAATAAGTTAATGGATACGTTCAACACAGACCCAGTTTTAGAAGATGACTTTAAGTTGTTGTTTGAATTTTGTGAATTACAAGAACTGTTAAAATAATTACTTAAAGTACTATTGATATGTATATTTGACAGTGTGCAGTAAGTCCCAGACATCATTTTTTCTGCTCGGTGTTGCTTCACCATAAGCGTATCATAAGAATACGGAAATGGTTAATTAGTTTGGAGGCGTTCTCCCCCACGCCCGCTGCTTCTTTTGATTGCCCATTGCCCGATGCTCTAAATGTTCTAATATTAATTAAAATATTAGAAGATTTTTCCGGTCTAACTGCGTCTAAAGACTAGACATGTTAATATAGTAAGATGGAGAAACAAGTATGCAAATCGTGTTGCGCGACTAAAGACGTTGAAGAGTTTGACGGTTTTAAGACTTGTAATAAATGCCGAGAAGCAAAAAGAAAATGCTACAAGAAAAATCAGAAATAATATAACCAAGCGAGAAGAGAAGAGAGGGCAAAGGGGAGCCAATTATGTGATGAATGCGGACACAAAATAAGAAACGAAAACTGGGATGCCCATTTCCATTACGCGTTACATCCGAACTCGGAACTAAATATATTTATGAAAGGTTATTTAACGAAGTTAGGTAATTTAAGGAAAGAAGGCAAACTAAACGATGAAATATAAGCAGAAATTAAGGCAGAATACGAGAAGCAGAAAAGTGAAATACGTAAACGATTAAACGAACAATTTCCTAACAAGTTTCAAGACGAGCCAGAAAAAGAAGAACAACCTGAAAACGAGAAACCTAAACCCTGAAATTGACGAAGTTTTCAACCACGTTAGGCAATTGTTAATGAATGACGAGTTTTTAGGTAAGCATAAGGATAGGATAAACATTGAAATTCCAGTTGATGTTGCCGAAACGAAAGCAACGACAGCAGACACCCAAAAGGCTTCACATGCTTCACTATACAGGATAATGCATTCATAAGTTTAATGTAGTTATAATCCTAAGTTGTTACAGATTATAACTATGTTATGATTTTACCTTATCCCTAAACCTCATTCCTATTATAGATATTTTATTAGAGATGACCATTTCTATGTTCGCGGGTTAGGGGTTGAGGGTGCTTTTCGGGAGTGCTTCAAGGTATGGGCTTATGTTGGGAGTTTTTGGGTTGGGGATTGAGGGTTACAAGGGTTTAGGGTTTAGGGTTTAGGGTTTAGGGTTTAGGGTTGAAAAGATGGTTTATTGGATTGGGGCTTTGGGTTGGCGATTGAGGGTTACAAGGATGATTTTCAAAGATGGTTTATTGGGTAGGACATAGGGGGGAGTGCATGGTTAGAAAATAGAAATGGTCATCACTAACTCTTTCAAGGCTTTCTCCCTCCTAAACTTCTAACTCCCTGACCCCTAAGCCCTAAACCCTAAACCCCCAACTCCCTAAGCCCTAAACCCTAAACCCCTAACTCCGAAACCCCCAAGCCCTAAGCCTTAAACCCTAAACCCCTAACTCCCTAAGCCCAACCTCGAAATCGTTCTCAGTCTAGGCTTTAGGAAGCTTTTGGGTTGAGGACTTAGTCTTTAGGATCCAGTGTGCAGGATTTAGGAGGGGCCTGGGATATGTATTTGTGCCTTTATCACCATGTGTACAGAGTTTCCACATCTTTGTACTTACGCATGTGCATATCTGCCTTTAGCGAGCTGTTTGCTGACAGAGAGAGATTTAGTGTCATCGAATATCCGCTCATGACTTATCCAGTTGTTGCGCATAGTGCTTAGGTGCTTTTCTGTATGTGGTCCAGTGTCCAGTGCTCTTGATTCGTAGCAATCCTTCCGTTAAGGTGTCTCTTACTCTGAGATCCTATGATATCTACTGCTAATTAGACACCGGAACCTGAGTCAAAGAAGGTGGGTTCCGGGTCGTGCAATTCGGGCATCGTGATTCATGCGTTCAGGGTTGAGGGGTTAGGTCGGATTAATTCCAGGTTTTGTCCTTGGTAGCAGTGTGTAGGCATTCGGGCAGAATGGGTATATCGCATCGCCCTGGACCTCAACACTGCGACTCCACATCAAACGCCCCTTAATTTCAGGCCCTCCTGCCAGCTAGTTTCTGAATGCCTGGTACCCATATATTGGAGTTTCCGAACATAGGGGACTCTAATATAGTACCCTAAATAATAGGATCCTTATTATAGTACCCTAAATAATAGGATCCTTATTATAGTACCCTAAATAATAGGATCCTTATTATAAGGACCCCAAAAGAAGGTACCACCCCCCCTATGGCATCTACTCGGACACAGCAGCAATTACTGTAGAGCAGCTTCAGGACTGCGTTTAGGGTTACCGGTTTAGGGTTTAGCATTTAGGGTTTAGGGTTTAGGGTTTAGGGTTTAGGGTTTGGGGTTTGGGGTTTAGGGTTTGTCCATGATTGTCAGGTGCTTATGCCCTGTCCCGACGCGGTCTTCAGAAATTGACAAGCAGCGGGCGCAAACCTCAGCCTACTCCGCACCAACACCAACCTGCGATGTTGGGAAGTTGTCTTGTGTCGAGACAAAGAGCTTCAGCTTTGTGCTGTTTATCTAAGTCAGGGGGCCGGCGTTGTGCAGTTTCTTTGCGATCTACATGCATATGGACGTGTTGTATCCAATACACATGCACAGATGATGTACCCGTTTCCTTCCGAGAGGTATGAAAATTGCATCTTCCCTGTGGATGACTTCCTTCCCGCATTGCACTCGTTCCACCCACGACCGGACGTGCGCGAGCTTCCTTGCGCCGCCGGCTCAGGGCTGGGTGGTTCAAGTGCATGTTCATGATTTTAGAGTATAAAGTCTCCATTGTCGTTCCTTTTTGCGGTTACCTTCTAGGATCCTTAACATATCATTGGTTAAGCCGAAACAGGAATGGAGGTAGTGTATTTGGTGCGTGAAGGCTTTAGGCGATGCAGCCGATGATGTAGTCACACTTCGGGTTGCGAGGCAAGAGTCCCCTCGCGCAAGTGAGTAATTATACTCCCTTGTGTTAAGAGTACTTCCTGAAAGGGTTCGTTTAAGGGTTCCTTTAAGGGTTTCTAAAGGGCTTCCAGGGGGTTTACGAGGGTCCGTTGCTTTAGCTGACGAAGATGGGCTCGAAGTTGCATTGGTTTGTGACCTGTGGAATCGGCTTAGAATTTAGGGCTTTTGGAATATATCCTAAAACCTGTACGACCTGATACTGTTGAAGGCGTAAGAGCTAGAAGGTGTCGTATGAGTCGTATGGGTTGTTTAAAAAAATTAGATCATGCTTCTTCGAACTAAAGTCCGCTGAGCTTCCTGCTCGTCTAGGCGACGTGAGCGGCACAGGCATGCTTTCCTAGGGTTCACATTGTCGGTAACTGCTAGGTTGATTCCACCTTTGACATGTGTTCTTGCTCTAAAACGCACATAGCATAGCTGGACTGGAGGCCTCACTTCAGATTTCACTTGAGACTCACCCGAAACCTCGTCATTCTAGAAAGAGATCAAGGTTTAGGGTTTAGGGTTTAGGGTTTAGGGTTTAGGGTTTAGGGTTTAGGGTTCAGGGCAAGCAAAACCATACCTTGAGTTTAAGCTCAAACCTCAAAGAAGCCCCAAGCCCCGAAACCCTAGTCTCCCAACCCCTAGCCCTGATAAAAGCATGTAGAAGCCCTCTTTTTTTAACACAGAAAGTCAGGAGCCTGTAAATCCCTGTACAAAGAACTCCACAAAGGGCTTTTCGTAGGTACCTTCTACCCCCTAAGGACTCAGGTTTTAAGGCTTTTGGGCCCAAAGACCCTATTATAAAAGGTTTCTGGGCTATTTTGATGCTAAGGGGTGCTGTTTATGGGGATACTTTCCCAAATCATACTAGTGATTCCTAACGTAGAAGCCGTGCTTTAGATACTTAGGACCCGTTGGGCAAGCCCCAAGCCCCAAACCCTGATGGCAACCCTTCAAGGGACCCTTACAGGGTACAAAAACCCTTATAGTAACCCCTAAAAATCCCAAATAGTGGCCGTAAATGCCTAAAGGACCTTTTTGGGGGCTCCTAAACCACAACCCTTACAGCCTAAAGTACCTTTTTGGGGGCTCTTAAACCCTAAACCCTAAACCCTAAAGGACCTTTTGGGCTCAACGACTCGAGGTCCGGGTCCTGTCTTCCGACTTCATTGCGCTGACCTTCCCAGACGGAAGCGGCGTGGTGGAGGTGGCAGACAGAGGCAAGGCCTTCAGGAACTTCCATGGCTCCTTTAAGGGCGTCTATTAGGGTTTAAAGGAACTTTCATGGCTCCTTTTAGGGGGTCTAAAAGGGTTTAAGGGCTCAAGGGTTTATGCAAGCAGTCTGCAGACAATCCGAGCAAGAGCGACGCCTGGATCGTTAGCTAGACTAAAGCACACAAATGAATTATTTGGGCTCAAGGGCTTGGGGTGTAGGGTTTAGGGGTCTAGGGTTTAGGGGCCATTTCATGGTTCAGGGTTTAGGGGGGCTGTTTAAGGCGATCTATAAGGGCTTTAGGTTTTAGGGTTCAGGGGCGCTCAATTTAAGGGGATCTATAAGGGCTTCATGGCTAAGGGGTTTAGGGTTTAGGGGGGCTCCTTTAAGGGGATCTATAAGCGCTCCTTTTAAGGGGGAACATCCTTTGGAGATCTCTGTGGACTCGGAATCTGCATCTTTTCCTTTTAGGGTTTAGGGTTTAGGGTTTAGGGTTTATGGACCTACAAAAAACAACGATGCCTAAGGAGGGTTTGTGGGTTTACAAGATTAAAGGGCTCGAAGGTTGGGGTTTAGGGTTTACGGCTTGTTAGACCCTAAATGGGTAGTTTTCTAAATCAGGGTTCCTTTTTGGGTCCCCAATATAGTACGGCACCCTTACGAAAAGGACCCCAAAAAGGGACCCTAATTTAGAGAACTACCCAAATTCTTAAGCCCTAAACCCTAAAGGGCTTGAAGGTTAGGGTTTAGGGCTTAGGGACCCTAAACCCTGAACCCTAAACCCCTGAATCCTGAACCCTAAACCCTAAACCCTAAAACCCTAAACCCCTAAACCCCTAAACCCCTGAACCCCAAGCTCTAAGTGAAGCCAGGCTCAGTGAGCAAGTACTCCGCTGTCATTTTGGGAGATCTCGGCGCGCTGCTGGGAGATTCGGATGACGAGCAAAAGGCATCCGGGAGGGCCTTTGCTTCGGGGGCTATGAAGCTTTGGGTTTGAGGGTGTGCGGATTTAGGGTTTTGGAGTTTTGGTTTTCAGTGTTTTGGGGTTTTGGGCTGATAAGAGATTTCGGGTTGGGTTTAGGGTTTAAGAGTTTGGGGGTTCAAGCGTTTATGGGTTTCGTGTGTCGGTGATTTCTGAGTTGCTTCAGTCATGAGTATCACCACCTATACTTTACTTACTCCAACAGCCCTACGGGAAAGGGTAAGTAAAATCCTTCAGCCTCACTTGCAATCCCCATAACCGCAAAATCTTACTTTTCATCATGCAGAAGCTTCATCCACCAATCCTGGGGCATTTTCGAAACACAGCCTCAACCCTCAACCCTAAACCCCAAAAACCCTCAACCCTAAACCCCCAACCCTAAACCCTAAAACCCCCAACTCTATGCCCTAAACCCCCAAAACCGCCAACCCTATGCCCTAAAAACCCCAACCCTAAACCCTAAACCCTCAACCCCCTAAACCCCCTAAGCCCTAAACCCTAAACCCTAAACCCTAAACCCTAAACCCTCAACCCTAAACCCCCTAAACCCTAAACCCCCCACCCCCGGGAAGCTTTGAAGATGTAGAGGCCTGGGCTCGAGACCTCGAAGCCTGGCAGCCGAAAACCTCTCCCTAGGGGTTTAGGGGGTTGAGGGGTTTAGGGTTTGGGGGTTTAGGGGTTTAGGGTTTAGGGGTTTAGGGTTTAGGGGTTTAGGGTTTAGGGCTTGAGGGGTTTAGGGTTTAGGGGCTTGGAGGTTT